TTGATAACTTGCTAGACCATGCATGAGCCTCCTATGTGTGATTAAAGTTCAATTTACAGAGCAGGAAATGCAAACTTTTAAAGTAAAGTTACATCTGATTGAAAATGAAAGCATTTTATTTTCATGCAGGCTGTGTCAGTCACAGCCATCGGAGGTGTGGCTAGGGCTGCATAAACAGAAACAAAAGTAATTTAACTCCGAAATGGAAGTGAACTGTGAAATGAAATTGCAGAGGCATGATCTATACACAAAAACTGCTTCATTAAGCTAAAGTTGTTTTGGTGACTATAGTGTCCCTTTAACTTTAACTCAACTTAACGCAAGTTAAAGGACCACTATAGGCACACAGACCACTATAGGCACCCAGACCACTTCAGCTCAATGAAGTGGTCTGGGTGCCAGGTCCCTCTAGTTTTAACTGACAGCCACTAGAGGCAGCTTCTGCGATTCTCACTATGAAAATCACAGTGAGAAGACGCTGACATCCATAGGAAAGCAGGCGTTTTTAATGCGCGCGCGGCTCTGGCCACGCATGCACATTCGACTCCACTCGGGAGCCAATGTCGGGGGGGGAGAGGTCACCAGCACCGAGGGAGCCCGGCGCTGGATTAAGGAAAGTGGCTGAAGGGGTATTAACGGGGGAGTCGAATGTGCATGCGTGGCCAGAGCGGTGTGCGCATTAAAAACGCCTGAGGGTAGGGGATACCTAAGGACTACATAGTGCCAGGAAAACATGTTTGTTTTCCTGGCACTATAGTGGTCCTTTAAGTTGCTGGCTGTAACCTAACTGACTTCTCAGCCAGATAAAAATTTAAACTTCTCAAACATCAGTACACATTATTTAAAAAATATATATATATATATATTGTCATAAACTGTATTTAACATTTAAAGCACAAGAAGTGAAACTTTTATGACAGCTGTCCTTTAAATTTCAAATTCACTTTGAATTCCCAACAAATCTCTCTTTAGCGATTAACCCTGAGGGTGTGTGGCTGTGGCTGACTGGGCCTAATGGGTGTTGTAGCTCTACAGACACTGGGAAGTTACAAATTGGACAACAGTGATCTATTGAAAATTGTATTTAAGTCATTTCTATTTGTAGCCCAGTCCTGACAGAAAGTGTACATTATCATATGGGGGATTCACAGCCCAACCTTATCTTTGCCAATGGCTAAATTCATTCGTTTATTACAGACAAGCTGAAAGAGACTCTTTCAAACTATTCTTGTTGGACTGTCCAGAAGGGGTGATTGTGTCTGAACACAAGTGATAATTGTACATTTTGTGATAATGGTGACTTTGAGCATATCTCCCGGGGGCTATGGTCAAGCACATTCTTCCATAATCTGTGCAGAACATTTCATCCTGCACTGTGCTATTTATCCTGCGTGATGTCATTCACTCTGTCTGACTGCTGCAGACTGGCAGAGGAAGGCCC